ATTATAAAAATATATATATATATATATATATCTGAATCATCCAAATAAAAATCATATTACTTTTTACTCAAATTTACTCATGCATTTCTGAAAATTAACAAAATCAATTGTATCATCAAAAGTTGTGGTTTAACTTATACTTATTCCACTCCTCGATGGCACTGATGAAAGGACAAGTAACAAGCCAATAATTTATTCCTTGCGAGAGTCACATGGTTTCGTGCTTAAACTATTTTTTTAAAACGAGTAAACAGTACAAAACAAAATCACATAATGTTTGATAAGACTGAAATTGTAATTTAAGAAACTTTTGATGGGACGTCGAGCTTGATTACTCTTTCTTCTTCTGATTTAAATTATCCGATATTACATCAGATGACAGCTTGTTCATGCAAAACAATTTGGATCCTCTCCTATTTAAATGCAGCGAGACAAAAAAATAAAAAAGAGAAAAGGAGAAAGAAAAAGAGAAGTGTGAGATTAAAATTACAAAGAAAAAGATAGAATAAAAGAGAGAAAAAACTGAAGGGAGATGATGCTATCATGCGAAGAGTTTAGTTTTTTTTAACAAAATGAAAAGTTATTAAACTCAGAGCAGTAATGTGTGAAACTATATATATGACAAGATTTATTTAGTAATGTGTGAACACTTTTTGCTTGAAAGGAAACCACTTTATTACACAAAGAAAAAAATAGTGACTTCATACCTCTTAATATTTATTTTAAAAATAATTAAATAAAAGATAATAGAGTGGATGATTATTAAAAGAAAATATTAATTATTTAAAAAAATTAAAATAATTAAAATGTGTAATAGTTCAATAATTGTGAAAACTAAAATAACTATACTAAATAGTTTTTTTTTTATTAATATAAATGACTGATACGAATGTTCTGGTGTTCCATTGCAATGAAAGTTGCTATTTTTTTTTCTATGTACCAAAAATATTTCTCAATTGAAGTAAATGTTGTTACTCATAGGAAAAATCTTTTTTATCTACTGTTCCGGCCAAAGGGTGGACTAGGATTTTTTCCTAGATCGTGCCTTAAAGCCAGAGCATTCAAAAGTATAATCTGCCTTCTCAACTCTAGGGTTTTTGGCTTTATAGTTTCTTGCTGACGGGCCTCCTGGGCCCCGAGAATGTAGGGATTTCTTCAACCGTCTAATCTAGAGAATATTTTCTCATTAAAGATGAGATTTTGTCCCTGATATCGGATCAGTATCTATGTGAGAGGGTCAGATCGGATTTTGGCCGAGTTGGAGCACACAAGTCGGATTCTGACCGAGTGCACCCATGTAGAGGGGTCAGATCGAATTTTGGCCGAGTTGGTAGTCGGATTATGGTCGAGGGGGTAGTCGGGTTATGGCCGAGCTAATTTGCGGCGAGCCACCACTCGGGCGTTAACCGAGTGACCAATCAAGAAAGAGCCGACCGAGAGCCAAGTCGGCTTACCACCAGAGAGGATGTAGGATCGTGCCCCGATTGGGATCGAAACCCGTTAGTCGGAGAATGACCGCTACGTTACATCTACTAATTATGTTAGATTTTGTGACGGACATTGTTATTCAGGACTTGGCAGAGACAGTCAATTAAGTTATTGCTATAGAACCCTTTCAAACTTTTTTTTTTTAATTATATATTATCTAGAAAAATAAGTTTAAATTAAATTATTAGATTAAACACTTTAATTATTTGTAGTTAACTTGTTAATAAGATTATACAATTTAAGAACGTGTATATGCATAAATGTTTAAATAAATTGAAAAGCAAGTAATTCATTTAAAAAAATTATAAGAAAAATTAGTTTATATTTTTTTTGAATTAAAATAAAATAAAATAGACATTAAAATGAAATGAACATAGCTATTAAACTCTATGAATATAATATGACTTGTATAAAAGTATTTTGATGAAAATAAAAGGGGTAAAATCAAATATTTATTTAAATATTAATACTTTAATTTTAATCAAAATATTTTATTTTTGTTATTTTGTACATATACTGAATCAATTTATATTCATATACTCGAGGCTTATTTGTATAAATATTAAAATATGAAACCAATTTTAATCATATTAATTATTAATTAATTTTGATTTTCTCATTGTAATATTTATTTATTAATTATTAAAATTGTAATATTAATCAAATTTTAATTAAATAAATGACATGTCAATTAATATTTAAAAATATTTATAATAAATTTCACTTTTAATTTCATATTTTTATCTTATAAAAATAGTAAAATGAGATGAAAAATTAGTTAAAAATAAAAAATTAAAATTACAATTAAACCTATATATTATAAAATATTAATTATCATATCATTTAATAATATCCGATATTAATCAATGTTACAATTTTAATAATTAATTGGCGAGACTTTAAAAGAACTAAAATTACAGATTTTATAAAATGAAAACTAAAATTGTAGAATTAAAAATTAAGACAAAAATTATTGATTATATATATTATAAGAGAGTGTAATTTAACTTTTAATTCATTGGAAAAACTCCTTTTAATTGCATTTTATTTATGAAAATAAAAATATTTATTGTAAAAAACAAATTTTCAACTTATTTTTAATATTGACTTTAAAAAACATTTTTTTTTAAAAACCTAAGCCATACAAACTCGCGTTGATTATTGCAATCAAGATCCAAAACGTTGTGTCAAAATATAATTTTCTCTGTGTCAAATTGAGTGTGTTCGGTAATATTAACTTATAAGTTAACTTAAAATTTATAAATTATAAATTAGGAATTGAAAAATTAAAAACTTACAGGTTAACTTATTAAATTAAAAATATATAATAAAATTAACTAATAAACTTACATATTGATATAAAATGACATGTTAATTTACTCAATAATAAGAGTGGGAGAATAATTAATATCTAGATAAAATGATTTATAAAATTAAAATGATAAAAGTGATTTAAAGTAAATTAATAAAGAGAAAAAATGGAAAGAGAAAAAAAACTAATACACATAAATTATAAACTACTTTAATTAATTTATAAAAATAAATTATAAAACTTTAAAATAAGTTTGTATACACTCATACCAATTATCATAGTCACAAAAAAATCTCAGTCATGATAACTGCTAGAAATATACATAATATAATGAACATTTCCTCCATATTATAGTACTGAACATGCTAGACTTGTGAAGTTGTTTGATATATAGTACCTTGTTGCATCAAATCCCCCAATATAACTGTACTTCGATGCACCTACTGCACCATCAGGCCCCTACATTCAAAATAACATTCTTTTGATGAACCACTGAGAAAAGAAAGTATTCCTAAATCTTCTAGATCAAATAATATTTTCCCAGTAAGAGTGAGAAACCTGAGCCCTTCGTAGTCCAAACTCAAGTAGAGTTTTTGATTTTCCAGCAACAAAACGATGCCTTGCAGCATTAGTAGAAACTAATGACGCAAAATTAATAAGATTGACAAAAGGTGTTTCCAGCAATTGAACAACCTGAACAGTAGAAAAGTCAATTTAATGCAAGAAGTATATAGTCATTGGAAGAAACGAGAATTCAAAAGCGATATAAACTGAAAGAAGTACTCACAGCAACTGGACCTTCAACTCTCAATAGGGGTACCTTAGGGAAAACAACTGATCCTTCGGGAATAGCATACACCTCAACATCAGAACAGTCAATTCCTCTAAGATAGTCAAGGAAGGCATCCTATGATTTAATCAATCAATACCAAAGTCCAAATTTATTTTAAAGGGAGAAAATCTACTAGAAAAAAGCATGTAAACTAGATCGTGCATGAAACTTTTTCTCCGAGCAATTTATAAAAGAAAGAGGTAATCTATCCGGTACTATTTGTTTTTTTAATTTGCTATGATTAACTGCTACACCCTATCTTTACATCCAATTATTGAAGAAATTTGGGAATAAAACGAGCAACAAGAGTGTGACAGGGCATGATGAAAATGAGAAGACGGTTTACCTCACAAGAAACGGACAAATTTTTCTTGATAAAATCAACTTCTTGATTGGAGAGCTTATAATTAGCAACGAACCTCACGCATTCTTCCAAACCAGCGAAGACAGTGTACTCCCCTCCAAAGGGGTTCTTCCGAAAATACAAATCAAACCTGAAACAAAATTACACTCACGATAACCGAATCATATCATAAACAAACACACGTATCAAATTGCACCCATCCAAGTTCCAACGAAAAGAAAAACCCTCATGTACGCATGCATGCATGCATGCATGCATGCATGAGGATTGAATGAATTACTTACACAGCACGCTCTTGATGCTTGCCAGCTTTCCAATAGGCATAAGCCATTGTGAATTGATATAGATCCGTCAGCAATGGCGTCACCATTGGGTTGGTGGGTCCAGGTATGCTCCCAGCCCTATTTTTCTTCTTCGACTCTTTCTCTTCCATTCTTATCCTTCTCTTCTTCTACAAACTAACCTTTTCTTATATATATAAGAAACAAAACTTTGAAGTGTGAAGCGTGAGTGAAGAGCCTTTGAACGTGATCTGATTGGTTCCTACGACTTTCTATTACATGTAAAACGTGAATGTTTTGTGTGTTGGAGAGGAATGGTTATAACTAAGATCGATATAGTTTATATTCTTTTCAACATATATTTTATATATTATGGAGTGAAATTAATTCACTTCACACGTACCCTGAGTTCATAACGCCTGTTAAAGAAAAGACAGACCCCGAAGTGCTTGAAGAGCAAGTCCTTATCGTCGTAGGGCAACCTCGGAACTATGTCATTGCAATAAACAAACCTGCAATACCTGATAGAATTTTCCCTCAGTTTTTGTCTCATGAACTCTGCATATGCTTCATCTCCAACTCTTGGTTGTCCAAACGTGTAGATTCCTTCCAACCTCTCAATCAGCAACTTGTCATCATGCAAGAACATGATGGTGGGATAGAGGATTGCGAGTGCTCCACCCAAACTATGACCCGTAAGTATAAACTTTGCATTCGGATTTTCGCTCAAACCTTTCCTTAAAATGTCCCTAACAACGTAGTAGGCTAACGGGGGAACATTTTCGTCCCACTGAATCTCCTTAGGCCACCCCACATTCTTTTGTAGCCCTAAGGCTTTCATAAAGCCACCATGCATTTTTCCAATGCCCGGAATCCCATACCACGAGATGTCAAGGTCAGTGCACCATGCATCTGCATCAAAGGGTTCCGTTCCTCGGAAAGCCACCACGTAAGTGTCGCGCTCCTCATGCTTGTCCAAGAGAACCAAGAGTTGAGTCATCGCCTTTTCTTGAAAATCTGCCATGTGCATCAGGTTCAAAACCAAAATTAATATTCATCATCGTTCAATCAAGAGTAAAATGTATTTCAGGTCTTTTTAACTTTAAAAACTTTTTTCTTTAACTTTTACAATTTTATTATCTAAATTTTTTAATTTGCATATTTTATATAAAAAAAAAAATCTAAACCTACTGATACATTTTATTATTATGTTAGTTGGTGATGTGACAATATTAATTAATAATCGACTTAATTAATATGTTAACATACTCATATGTCATATTATTAGTTTATATCAATAATTAATATATCACATCAATAATCATTAATAATGTTAAAACTAATTATTAAAATATAAAAAAATTATAAAGTTTTTATAATTTTAATTATAAAATATGTAAATTTAAAATTTGAGCTGCTCAATTTGCAAAAATTATAAAATATAAATATAAAAAGTATAATTAAACCTTATTTCTCATAATATTGTGTATCTTTCTCGCACTAAAATTTGTCTGTATTAGAGAGAATACACTTTCACTTTGACTAATAATAACATACAGTTAACATTTTTAACACTTTCAACTATTCACCGAACCTTAGGAACTTATAATTTATACATGAACACGTGGAGATAGGTTATTTTTAAATCTCACCATTCCAGCAGTCATAAAATCCCACGAATTGCATCTGTAAGAGGACACAGGTGTGAAAACAAAACTAATTAGGGAGGCATAATGGAAAGAAATTGATTAAACTGAGAGAAGAGTGAAAGGTGAAGACAAAATAAGTTAGTTTTTGAATTCTATACCTTCCATTGATTTGTAATTAGACCTTTAAGGTAAGCTGCATTCTCATATGATGCTTTTGAAGCCATCATGGCTATTGAAGCATAGTACCTGCTGTCTTCGCGCTTGATAGCATCCAACTTTATTCGCACGTCCAAATTTCCAATACAAGACAAATAATTTGGTGTATCACGTTTCGGGATCACCAGGTTACCTGTTTATATATATATATATATATATATATTAATTGATTAATTTATGAGATTGGATACGAAATGAATGATTTTTTAAAATATTTTTCTTATGATTATGTTGGATTGGATTTTGCACAGTTATGATTTTCCCATTTGACCCAGTCAAGTTAAAATGTGAAAGAATACATGTTATATATTCTTATTAAGTCACTACAAAAAAAAAAAAATTATGTATTGACATATATCATATTAAAATATATTATTTGTCACTAAAAATTAATTTTATTTATATTATAAATATAATATATATTGATATATTGTTAAAAAATATAAGAATAAATTATAGTGATTTATGAAATATGTTATTAAATTTCATTTAAAATTAATACTTAAATTGAATATAAATATATGTTAAATGAATTTATGTTTATATATATTATATTTATAATGACTTTTTATATATATTATTGTATGTAATATTTCTAATTATGAGCGTTGTTAAATTTGATTCCATCAATAGTTAGATTGGGATCGTAAATCACTTATCAATCTAGGAATGGATAGAAATAGGGGATTCATGTTTTAATAAATATTATAATTATGCATGTATTTTTTTCAGAGTAGTGTAAGCAAGTGAAAACAATTGTTTAATCGATATATTTTATGAATCTTATATTTAGAATATATTTTCAGCGGAAAATTTTAAATTTTTATTTATCTAAAAAATAATTGTATTCTCGCCTTTACTAATCTGAAAAATTGAAAGATTATTGAGCTCAATTTTGACCAATAATGTATTTTTTATTTATAAAAAAACAAACGAAGACTTAGCTGTATTGGGTTGACTCGGCAAACTTTCAGAGCTTTAGATTGAAATATAGTTAAGAAATTCCAGTATCAAAATAAAATTATTTTAAAAATTTTATAATACATAATTAGGTGATAACAATATATAGGGAGACATTATATATCATTCTATTATAGTTAACATGCAATTTATTTATATTTAGTAATGTTTTCAATTATTATGATTTAAGTATTTGTACTAATTTCATTTGGCTAAAAATAAATTAAATCCTTAATTTTTACTCAAAATATCTCAATATTAAATTAAATCGTTTTAAATAATTTTTAACTAAAAAAATCTCACCAGAAAAAAAAAAATTGTTCCAACTATTCCATTTCACCGAAAACAGAAAAAATAAAATTATATATATGTATGACCCTCCTCTTCTTCAAAATCCAAACCTCACTTCCAACAAAAGTTTCCAAATTTTATTAAATTTCCACCAACAACTTTGATGTAAATCGCTTCATTTTCTCTATATATCCTATAAATCCTAAAATATTTGAGTAAAAAAATAAGAATTTTTAAGCTGGAAAAAAAAACTTAATTATGGACTTGTGACGATTAATTTTGAATAAAAAATATAAAAATTAAAACCGTTTATTACCCATAATAAAATAAAAAAATAATAAAAAAAACAAGTAAAGCCATAATTAAAAAAGAAAAAAAGAAAAAAAGTCACACACTCCAAGTCCATAGTTTGGATCCGTGGACTGTGACTCTGGAAAATGAGGTTGAACAAAAGACGAAGCATGAATGCTATTTGACCTTTGTATCTAATCTGGAGGATCTGAATAACTTAGGTAGGACTCTAGTAAAAAGGCACTTTGGATTTTATTTTCTATTTTAATGGTTTTTAGCATAAAAAAAATGTTGGACTTTGAAGGAAACAGCAGATGAATGGAATAGATATTTATGTTGAGTGAGGTATGTATATAGAAGCAAAGTGTTAAAAAAGAAGAAGTAAGATGTACGTATATGTGTTGGAAGAAAAGAAAGGTAATTACATGTGAGAAAGTTAATGAATATTCTGAAGAAGCCACCGTTGAGGAGAAGGAGGTTGATGAGGAGCTCAATGCAAGAGCCGAAAAAGGCAAGTGGCTTAGCGACGTACATGAGAAACTTCTGCAGTACGACAGACACAAATATGAGCCATCTGTGGCGGAAGCTTCCCTCAACAGCCCCCTCTGCGTCACACTCCACGAATCTTCGATTTCCCAACTTTCGGGAAAATAGGACACCTAATAGATCAAAGAAATCAGCGTCTTCTGGGTTCAACAACATATAACTCTCTGCGAACTCCTTGCTGCAACCGCTCTTCCTTTTTGATGCCATGCTCGATAATAGAAGAAGACCAAGGAATTAACAATACTCATAAATCTAGGCCACCCATTATCACTATATATTATACGTACACTTCTCGAGTGCAATTATTGATTGGATGATGTCTTATCTTTTATTTTTTTTAATTTCATATTGTATACTTCCAACTTAAACTCTAATAATTTATGTCCATCATTACTCAAAACATTTTATTTTATTGCAGTATACATGTTGTATAAATCTTCTTTCTGTTCTTATTTTAATGATGTTTGATTTTGTTTGTATTTTATCAATTATTTTTGTTATATTTTTTTTAACGGATAACAACAAAGAAAACATTGCTAATATATTATGATTTTGATTGTATCATTGATATGTAATATATTATGTATTTTTTGTGAGATACGTTTAACAACTAGTATCTTTTTAACATGTGATTTGTTTTTATGTTAGTATATGTTTGATTTCATATCAAACATGTTTATAATTAATTTCATTGCATTTTATAAAATTATTATAATCATGATTGTTATAAGTTTGATTATTAGTAAAATTGATTTTAAAATATAAAAATTTATATTTATTTGAAAACAACTATTTATACTGTCTCCAAAGAAAATCTATTTTAAAATTTTATTTACATAAATTTATAATTAAACAAAAAAATTTAACAACATTCTATATAAAAATAAATAAATTTATATCTGAATCATCCAAATAAAAATCATATTACTTTTTACTCAATTTTACTCATGCATTTCTGAAAATTAACAAAATCAATTGTATCATCAGAGGATCACATATCTAAAACACACACTTAATTGACAAAAGCTGTGGTTTAACTTATACTTATTCCACTCCTCGATGGCAATGATGAAAGGACAAGTAACAAGCCAATAATTTATTCCTTGCGAGAGTCACATGGTTTAGTGCTTAAACTAATTTTTTAAAACGAGTAAACAGTACAAAACAAAATCACATAATGTTTGATAAGACTGAAATTATAATTTAAGAAACTTTTGATGGGACGTCGAGCTTGATTACTCTTTCTTCTTCTGATTTAAATTATCCGATATTACATCAGATGACAGCTTGTTCATGCAAAACAATTTGGATCCTCTCCTATTTAAATGCAGCGAGACAAAAAAATAAAAAAGAGAAAAGGAGAAAGAAAAAGAGAAGTGTGAGATTAAAATTACAAAGAAAAAGATAGAATAAAAGAGAGAAAAAACTGAAGGGAGACGATGCTATCATGCGAAGAGTTTAGTTTTTTTTAACAAAATGAAAAGTTATTAAACTCAGAGTAGTAATGTGTGAAAATATATATATGACAAGATTTATTTAGTAATGTGTGAACACTTTTTGCTTGAAAAGGAAAACACTTTATTACACAAAGAAGAAAAAAATAGTGACTTCATACCTCTTACTATTTATTTTAAAAATAATTAAATAAAAGATAATAGAGTGGATGATTATTAAAAGAAAAACTTAATTATTTAAAAAAATTAATATAATTAAAATGTGTAATAGTTCAATAATTGTGAAAACTAAAATATCTATACTAAATAGTATTTTTTTTTTTTATTAATATAAATGACTGATACGAATGTTGTGTTCCATTGCAATGAAAATTCCTTTTTTTTTTTCTATGAACCAAAAATATTTCTCAATTGAAGTAAATGTTGTCACTCACAGGAAATATCTTTTTTATCTACTAATTATGTTAGACTTGGCAGTGATAGTCAATGAAGTTATTGCTATAGAACCCTTTCAAACTTTTTTTTTTTAATTATATATTATCTAGAAAAATAAGTTTAAATTAAATTATTAGATTAAACATTTTAATTATTTGTAGTTAACTTGTTAATAAAATTATACAATTTAAGAACGTGTATATGCATAAATGTTTTATAAATAAATTGAAAAGTAAGTAATTCATTTAAAAAAAATTATAAGAAAAATTAGTTTATATTTTCTTTGAATTAAAATAAAATAAAATTGACATTAAAATGAAATGAACATAGTTATTAAACTCTATGAATATAATATGACTTGTATAAAAGTATTTTGATGAAAATGAAAGGGGTAAAATCAAATATTTATTTAAATATTAATACTTTGACTTTAATCAAAATATTTTATTTTTGTTATTTTGTAGATATACTAAATCAATTTATATTCATATACTCGTAGCTTATTTGTATAAATATTAAAATATGAAACCAGTTTTAATTTTTTACATGAATCCCAACAGATAAAGATTTAAGGAGAGAACAAATTATATATATATATATAATAATTCTGAAATAAATTTAAATTTTACTGAATATTAATTTGATATTAGTGATATTAATTTATTTTTTAAGTAAGAATATTAAAAGAATACCAGCATAAGATTTTAAAGAAAAAACTATTAAATTATATAATTAAGATGATTTTTTTTACAACATGTAATGTTTATAGAATAGAATTAAAAATATGTATAATTATTGTTATTGTGAAAATATTATTTCTAAATTATTTTTATTTAGATTCACTTGAGATAAAGTATAGTACAAGATAATAATTGAATGAATTAACATTAAATAAGATATTAAAATTATTTATTTCAATTAATAAATTTGTTGTTTAAAAATTTAAAATGATAAAATAAATATGATAAATTATATTAGAATTTGACTCGTAGAACTAATTTTTCGTTTCAAATTTTTTAGACATAGTCATGTTTTTATTTATGATTATAATAAAAGTGATAGATTTTTTTTGGTGTTTATATTTTAGTTTTAATTTTATCCTTAAATTATTTATTCATAAATATAAATCACCTACACCTTTTAAATAATCACTTCACTCTACTTTTTTTTGTTTTATTTTTTTTACACGAGAAATACACACTTTCAAATAATTACTTTAATTTATTTATTTATTTTTAATAAAAGAGATATAAAGTTCCTTTTTCTATTAGATATCACAATGTTGATGCATTTGGTAAAACTCAAAAATGAATTAAAGAAATAAAAAGTTCAATAAAAAAACACTATAGTTATATTAGCTGTACATGCACGTTCTTTCAATCCTTCATCAAATACCACGTAATTATAATAAATCGCTATGCTACCTTACATTTTTATTAACTTAGACTGACACATTAAAAATATTGAAAATGAATTTAATTATGGTATTTTTTGGTAGATTTAATTACAAATTTTATATTATAGGAACTTAAATAGACATTTAATAATGATATAGAGACTTATAAATTAATTTAACTTAATAAAATTAAACTTATCCTTCAAGAAAAATTCATTAACGAAAAGTTGCTTTATCAAAAGTATTTTTAAGATAAACTTTATACTATTTTTGTTTCATTTTTTTTATATTATTGAGTTCTTTGTAAATTTCTATTATCCAGTTTTAAATTTTTTAATATTATTTTTTATTTGAATAATTATATTAAAATACATTTCTGAATTTATCATCTGTTAATATTTGATTTAAACATTTAATAATAAGAAACAAATTTTATTTACTAATTAATAACACTTATATACATTATAATTTGAGTACTTTTTCTTACGTGTGAAGATATTTATTATTTTAAGTTATTTATTTTTATGATATGCGAATTGTCATTACTTAATATTGGCTAATTATTTATAAAAAAAACTGTTACCATTTTTTATTTAAGTTTAAGCTTTATTATTATAAAAAATATATTATGCTTTATTTTTCCTCTTGCATTTCAATTATATTTATTGTTAAAGTAGTTTTTGTTTTTAAAATATAAGTTACTTATAATTTTTTTAGACAAGTTACTTATATATATATAT